CTGAGAAGAAATTCAGTAATGTCTAATATTCAGGGCTCTAGGCAGAAGTCGGAAAATCACTCCCTGTGACTCTCAGCATTTTATATAGCGTCGTTTCTTGGTATCCATGGGGTTTGGTTTAAGAATCCTCTACAGATACCAAGATTTGCAGATTTCAAGTCCTTTAGATACAGTGGCATAGTATTTGCATATAACCTATGCATATCAGCCAATCATAGATGGTGATTGAAATAATCTCTTGATTATTTATAACACCTAATATGATGTAAAGGCTATGTAAGCAGTTGCTAACGGCATTTTTGTTTTATTTTTATTGTTGTTTCATTAATTTTATTTTTGGAATATTTTCAGTCCATGGTTGGTTGAATCCACAGATGCAGAAGCCATAGGCACAGGGGGCCAACCACACCTATGTATGCTCTTCTTAAAGTAGCAACATCTTGGTTCTGACCATATAAGAAATTAGTTATCTATTAGACTGGGAAGTAAATATGGTACAAGTTGATTTTTTTTTTTTTTTTTTTTGAGACGGAATTTCGCTCTTGTTACCCAGGCTGGAGTGCAATGGTGCGATCTCGGCTCACTGCAACCTCCGCCTCCTGGGTTCAGGCAATTCTCCTGCCTCAGCCTCCTGAGAAGCTGGGATTATAGGCATGCGCCACCAAGCCCAGCTAATTATTTGTATTTTTAGTAGAGATGGGGTTTCACCATTTTGACCAGGATGGTCTCGATCTCTTGACCTTGTGATCCACCCGCCTCGGCCTCCCAAAGTGCTGGGATTACAGGCGTGAGCCACTGCGCCCGGACAGTACAAGTTGATTTTTAAATTTAGCAAATGATCATAGACATATCAGTGTCGTACAGAAAATATTAATTGGAATGCTCACTCTCTAATTTGGGATGCTGCTTTGCCTTGCTGTATAATGTATTTTAAGAATGTTATCAAAGCATTACACACTTGAAAAATGTTTTTAAAAGGACATGATGATAATTAAGACCTTCTCCCCAACTCCTGCCCATTATCCAAGATAAACATTTTTCCCCCTTTATCCTGATTTTAAAATCAAATACCCTTTATTGAGGCATGCTTTACATGAAGCAAAATGTATCCTTTCTAAATATTGTGAGTTTGATGAGTTTTTGACAGATGTGTACAGCTGTTACCATGACTGTGTCTTTACCTAGGTTCCTGCATTGCTCAGTCCAGATACAGAGTGTCTCCTTCACCCTGACAAGTTCCTTTGTGCTGCACCATCTAGCCAATCATCTGTTTTGAGAAGAGTTTTAAAACAATGGTTTTTGTTCTTTCTCACCGATAAGCATAACCTACCACAGGGTCTTTTTCTTTTTCACTGCTCTTGTGCCAGCTGCCTGACAATTTGTGGGATTAAAGCTCTAAGCTGCTCACTGGCTCTTCTGACTAGGGAGAGGGAACAAGCCTCATTATTTTTCTGTTCTTTTCAGTGATTGCTCACTCCTATTCCTCCAAAATCCCAATCCATCCATCCACCCATCCATCCATCCATCCATCCTCCATCCATCCATCCATCATCCATCCATCATCCATCCATCCATCCTCCATCCTCCATCCATCCATCATCCATCCACCCATCCATCCATCCATCCTCCATCCACCCATCCATCCATCCATCCATCCATCCCCCATCCATCCATCCATCCATCATCCATCCATCATCCATCCATCCATCCTCCATCCATCCATCCATCCATCATCCATCCACCTATCCATCCATCCATCCATCCTCCATCCATCCATCCATCCATCATCCATCCATCCATCCATCATCCATCCATCATCCATCCATAATCCATCCATCCATCCATCCATCCTCCATCCATCCATCCATCCATCCATCATCCATCCATCATCCATCCATCCATCATCCATCCATCCATCCTTCCATCTAGCCAAACCACTTGCATGTGGAATGTCTACTGTGAGCCACTGGCTACCAGGAATCCCACTTCCACCCAAATTATGTTTCAACAGGGAAGACAGGCAATTTGACAATTATGATTAAAAAAGAGAAAATATACCATAAAATGGGAAATAACGGGGCATGACAGGAGACCTAGCGGGAGTAGCAGGCAACGATTCTTAGGGGAAGAAACATTCCTAATGGACACCTGCAGGAGAAATATTAAAGAGGCAATTATTTCAGTAACACTTCTTGTGACAGCAATAATGCACAAAGTTTCTGGTTCCCAGGCTGATGGGTCCAAAAGTCACTGAATCATGAATGTGCCCAGGACCCATGCACTGTTTTATAGGCAGGGATTCAGTAAAATGTGAAATGACTGACATTCAACAGGCAGAATCGTGCAGAGTGCATGATTTGGCACTGATTGAAAGCGTTTCTTCGATAGCTTTTGATAGAATTTATTAGTAATCTGACGGGAAACAGCTTAGGGCCATGCAAAAGAAGAAAATCAGCCCCTAGAACTGTGTGGCTGGGCACAGAGGTGGCCGCTGGTGATTTAAACAGGGGTGAGCAGGACATCGTGGGCCTCATTGTGGGGTTAGCAGGGCTGGGCTAGGACAGTGAGATTATTTTCTAGGCAGAGAACAGACATAACATGGTAAGTTAAAAACACTGAAAATTCTGCGCTGCCTGAGTACAAATGTCAGCCATGGGGGCCTTGACACTCTTGAAAGAGGGATTTGAGCAGTGGCCGCCGCATCTACTTGGCACTGGTTTGCTGTGGAAGGGTCACCAAGTCCCTCATCAGCATCTTGAAAGGAGAAATGGTGGGCGCAGGTAGCATTTCTCAATCACTTGTGAGTAATTTCCTTCTGTCTTTCATAAACATAGCTATGATTGAAATGACCTTTCACGAACAGCAGGGAAGGACTGCAGAAGAAAATGAAGTATGTGAGAAGCAAATCCATCTACCTGATTGCCATGTAACTTTGGGTGAGTAACAGAGTGAGAATTTGAGATGTGAATTAAGCATTGCCAAGCATGGTGACAAACTTGAAAACAGTTTTCTCCATGTTCTACTTTAGAATCACGAGGCCAGAGAAGCAGGAGGGAAGAATACTGGTTACTCACAGTGTACTTTCTTCCGGAACAATTTTTAGGATAATTAGGTATGCAGTTTCCACCTGAGGCGCTGACCTTTAGGTGAATGTTACTGGATATGCACCTGTGATACCCAGGCAAACTTTCCACGGGTTCTGCGGGCACTGTGAAATATGACAGGCTCTGGCTGCCCATTCACTTTTGGTCATAACATGCCCAGAGTGCTTTTAATCTCCTGCAATTTAACATAGGAGAAAATCAGTTTACTCTGTAGTGAGTTCTGCACATCTCACGTAAAACCAAAGCTCTCTGAAAACCCAAATCTCCTGTGGGCAGTAATTCACACACAATATTCTGGAAATGTAAAATCCTAAATGCCTGCTGACTTCAAATCAGTGTTTATAGCCTGCATCTGAATAACTCCATGAGTTGCTCAGCTCCTCTCCATCTACTGCCCTTTGATTTGATTTAGCACTCATTTCCAGGGGCCGATTTTCTTTTCTTCCACGGCCCTAAGCTGTTTCGCCTCAAATTAGTAATATATTCTATCAACACCTATTGAAGAATCACTTTCAATCAATGGCAAAGTGTGCACTCTAGTGCGCACTCTGCATGATTCTGCCTGTTTAATGTCGGGCGTTTCGCGTTTTACTGAACGCCTCTCCCACAAAGCCATGCTTAGGTCCTGGGCACATTCATGATTCAATGACTGTCAGGCCCATCAACCTGGGAACCAGGAACTTTGTGCATTATTGGTTTTACAATTTCAGCTGAGGCTGCCACAGAACAACTCAAAAGACAATAGGGTGTCCTGAGTGAGCCTGTTCCTTGACTTGTTTTTTTTTTTTTTTTCAGATGGAGTCTCACTCTGTCACCCAGGCTGGAGTGCAGTGGCGCGATCTCAGCTCACTTGAACCTCTGCCGCCCAGGTTCAAGAGATTCTTGTGCCTCAGCCTTCCGAGTAGCTGGAATTACAGGTGCCTGTCACTGTACCCGGCTAATGTTTGTAGTTTTAGTAGAGACAGGGTTTCACCACCTTGGCCAGGCTGGTCTTGAACTCCTGACCTCATGATCCACCCACCTCAGCCTCCCAAAGTGCTGAGATTACAGACATGAGTCACTGTACCCAGTCTGACTTGTATTTTATATTTTAAGCTCTATTGGCTTCACTGGCAGTGGGACCACTGACTTTTTCCCTACTTTATCTAAAGGGACCTGCTGGGGGTCTCTATTTGGATATTTCCTGTCTTCCTTAGAGGGGTCAATGCCTGAATCTGTCCAATAATCAGCTTTGACCAACTTGATTGATGTGGCGATTTTCCAGCACCATTAACCCTTGAACATATATGGCTTGAAAATATGCAAATGCTCTTGGAAATGACAGGATGGTGGTTCTCATGAAAGGGGAAAAAAGTAGCAGGTGGATTTTCATAGATGAACACCTAATGCTAATCTTGATCAGGGTTAATGTCATTTGCTAGAGTTTGGCAAAGAAACACTGGGTTATTTAGGCTTTTGTGGGCTTCCCAGGAAGGTCACCACCATTTGAAATGAGAGTTCCAGGGAAAAAGCTGCCAGAGATTAAACAGAAGGCTTATCGATGCATCTTCTGAAGAGAACTGGCTTCTATAACTTAGCATCTTCCATGGACCCTCTTCTAATGAAAGGAAGCCCTTCAAATGACAAAAACCATTGCTGTTTCGTGGAGGTACTGGTGAACAGGGTTTCCATCACAGTAGCATCCACCTATACAAAGGAAACACCCACAGTTCTGATCTCAGTTTTATCCATTTTCTTCTCTTCCAAGTGATACGTTCTTAGTGTGATGGACCCTCTGTGAACCCCAGCACAGAATTAGGAGTTTGTAAGCTCAAACAGACAAAGGCATGTGTCCTCCTGAGACTGCAGAATTTGAAAGGTTCACGGATTTATCCTAGAAATCAAATGACAAACAACTTTTCCGTAAGGAGCATACTGTGCCCATTTATTATAGAATGCAGTTAAAAAAAATATTTTTTGAGGTTAGCCTCTCCAGTTTAAAAGCACTTAACTAGAAACACCTGCACGGTGATGCAATGGTCTCTCCCAAATAGGCTTCCTCATACCAAGTACCATAAACAGGGTGTGAGAACGTTCAATCAATTTCTTGATATAAACAATCAAAGCATTTAATAAAACCATCTTCCAAATTTCCAAAGCATGCACTGCTACTTGGCGTTAGGTATTTCAAAATGACAAACTTTGTTATGGTGTTGTAAGGCCAAAATATAATACCTATTTACCAGACATACACGCTACAACTAGAAAAAAATTACAAATGTGAACCTAGTATAAGAATTCCAGCAGGAATTAATGGGGAAAGGCACTGCATCCCTCTCGTATCACCACAGAGCTACTATCCACTTGACATGCTTTGAATTCAAGTCCTGTTAGACATGGGGACAGCATTTTCTACAACATACGAGTCACAGGTAGGTTAATACAACCCAGTCTCCCACTGCCACACTTTTCACCCAAGTGTACAACAGGTATGAATGTATGCTATCAGCTTTATTTACAAGTTTTTTCTTGATGCCTTTAGTGGGGTAAAAAAACCAACTATCTCAACCAACAGTTTCCAAAAGAGTTTTTGGCTATGATTCGTGTATAGAAACCACCACACCAAAGAAATAACAGAAACTGATATCCGACCCCGAACACCTAAACTAAAATGTCTCACCCACTACAAGCTGGCAGTGAAACTGCTATTCTCTGAATTGTATAACTAAACACTACAGAGGAACTTCAGATCGACTGCTTTTGCAGAAGCGCAGGTTACATGTTGCACAGTTTAGGACGCCGAGTGAATGTATTCCAGGAAGAGTTCCACCAGCGAGTGCTGTTGCAAAGAGCGTCGAGAATCCAAGAATCTGGGAAAGATGATATGTTTTCCAGATGCTTTCCTGGCTTCCCAAAAGATGTAAATTAAGAGTGTAACTTCATATACGAACAAAGGTTAGTTTTCAAAATCAGTAATATACATGCACAAACATGAGAACATGAGGGAAGAAAGGAAACGCGACAATTTCCACGCTGCATTGCTGCTGTTTTCACGACCTCTCTGCACTAGGTGGCTTCCTGTGGTACCTCTTCCTACTAGTAGAGAGTAGACCCTGCAGGCTGCTTAGAAACAGGAAGCTCTCTCCCGAAGCCACTGACCAGCCTGCCCTTGGCACAGACAGAACCTACCAGAGAACAATAAGTACAAAACACTATCATGATCAGTTTTCTCAAGACAGTCCCAAATGTCCTTGTGCAATCACCACAAACTCGGGGATTGGCCCAAGCCATTCCCGGGTGCCATGAACAGTCACTGGTGTGCAGCATTAGAACAAGGGGACACGGCCTTGATTCTCTTCTGAGCAACATGAACTGGGATTTCTGCCACCCCGATCTCGGCTCCCACCTCCGAAGAAGTCGTGACCGGCCACCTCCACAGTAAAAGATTCCTCCTGTGAGTATGATTTGGAATGCATCCTCGTCGTGTGCCAGCTCAGCTGAGGTGGATCGGCGTGTACTCTGGCCTCCTGGTCTGGATAATTTTTGGCTTGGGTCTCTTCATTCTCTCCATCTCCTCTTCTTCCTCCTTCTCTTCATCGCTCTCACATACGTGGACCACCACACTGGGAGTGGTGTCAGTCGCTGCGTGCAATTCATACTTTTCCCCTAAGGAAAGGAAATAATTGCAGGGTCACTCAGATGAGTCTTTGGGAGTCTAAAGGCAAACACAAAGGAGCGTTCAGGGCTCTGCTGGGCCAGCCGCTCGTGTCCATTCAGCTGGGCTGAGAGACACAGCCAGACGTATTTTGGATTTGTATTTCTTTGCTGGCCCATTCAGGAAAAGAGATATTTCCATTGCCCATGACTGTTTCTAGTCAAACATTCTGGGAGTCCAGGCACATGAAAGGTATAGAGGGAATGCATTTTTCTAGTTAAACTTCGCACATCCACCAGGCACCTAAACTACCCAGAGAACTCCCCCTCTGTCAGCATTTCCTCAGGTGTGAACGTGAGAAACTTCGGTTCAGGAAAAGGATGGACGAATATATGCAATTGGAAACAGAACCCCGGGCCTCCCTCCCAGGGCTCCTATTTGAGGGTCTCAGTGCATGCCAGGGAAGGAGCCAAGGGAGACCCTGCAGCAGACGCAGGGGGTACTGCATGGAGCCAGGTGCTCTGGAAACGTTTTTGACCTCGGGATCCTTGTGCTTAGGACAACTTCTAATCCCCAGACCAGGGGTGCCCTGCTGCTCTATGTCAGCCTGAGTTCTACCAGGCTGGCCAAGTTCAGGCCACTCTGGTCGGGCAAGGGTGGGGTGAGCTCTCTGCAACTGAAGAATCCGGCAATGCAGAGTGAAGGGGCTGGGGCCTCCCGCTGGGGTGCTGCTCTGGCCACAGAAAGAGTGTGCATCTCTGTGGCTCATAAAGGCAGCTCTGAGCCTGACTCCTTAGTACCCAGGGTTCATGGCCACTTTATTCTGCTTCCCTGGGCACCTCAGTTCCCTCGTCAGTGAAGGGGACAGTAAAGGTATTGACTTCATGGAGCTAACAGCATGAGTGAGTGCCCAAGGCACTGAGAACGTGGCTCACCACATGCTGGTCCAATCCATGTCACCTAGAAAGAAGGGTGGCCAGGCGCAGTGGCTCACACCTGTAATCCCAGCACTTTGAGAGGCCACGGTGGGCGGATCACCTGAGGCTGAGAGTTCGAGACCAGCCTGACCAACATGGAGAAACACTGTCCCTACTAAAAATACAAAATTAGGCGGGCATGGTGGCGCATTCCTGTAATCCCAGCTACTCTGGAGGTTGAGGCAGGAGAATAGCTTGAACCTGGCAGGCAGAGGTTGCAGTGAGGCGAGATCACGTCATTGCATGCCAGCCTGGGCAACAAAAGCGAAACTCCGTCTCAAAAAAAAAAAAAAAGAATGGAGGATACGTCGTTACTGGTGTGATGCTGGGAGTTGTAACAGAATGCCAGGGACCTGCATTTGGGGCAGGTGGTGTGCTTCAACCTGCTGCATTCCCAGGGCGGCCCCGGGACGAGTTGTCCTCTAGGTCTTGGGATCCCTTTGTAGTTCTGGGTAACTGAGGAGGCACCTCGCCAGCCATTGTGTGACCATCATCTGACTGATTTCCACCAGACAAGAGCTTCCCACCTCCAGCTGCACCTGCTACTCCTCTAAACCTGGAAGGGACTTTTACTCATAAAGAAGGTGGTGGTCTTTTCTCTTTCGTATATGGGACTGAAATGTTGTTATAACTGCATTCAAAAAAGCAAAGGAGCTTCATTGTTCTGAGAGAGAGAATTTGGGCATGGGGAGACAGATGGATTGCTGGAAATGCCGGTTAAGAGCCCCTTATAAATCTCCTTCTTTGCAAGTCTCTTATCTAACTCCTCATCAGCCCAAATCCAGAAAGCTCAGGGTTTAGGATCACAATTTGCAAAATCTCTGCAATCCTGTTGGCTGAAAAGCACAGGTGAAATATGAAATCTCACTTAAGCTTATTGTTGAGTGAACCAAGGACAGATTGAGTTTATTATGTCTGTTTCCTAAAAAGCTTTCTCTAAGAAGCCCTCTGTGAAGGAAGTGGTAGATTCCGAAGTATGAAGAATTTTTATCAGCAGCACTTGCCTCTGGAACAGCTGACACCTCTCTGCAAGTGGGGACCCTGTTTCCTCCCATCCCTGACCTAGGGAGAGACTCCACACCCTCAGCCCTGCTCATGCCCCCGGCCAGGCGCTGCCATGGGGGGAGCACACGCTTCCTCACACTGATCATTTCTGAGCTTGACCTTCACGCCACAATTAGCAGTAAGTAATGTGACTCTTGCTTTCTCCCACACAGGGAATTTCCATTTTTCAGAAATGTAATGTTTTCAGTATGAAACTGCTGATGGTCCAAGAAAATAACACCCTCAACCCAAGGGAACATCAGATTGCTGGTCAAGGAGAAACGAGGAGCTGATGGTCTCAGCATTTATCTGATGTGCTCCAGGGACAGAGCAGGACAAGGCCCACACCTCTTCAACCCAAGACCCTCCCTCACACCTGCCTCCTCACTCAAACCCTAGCAGACAGGACAGGAACAACCTATATTTTATGGTTTTCCAAAAACCTGCCCTGAGGGCTGCCTGTGAGCCAGTCACAGACTGAAGTGCTTTTCACTCCATGCGCTCATCTACTGCTCATGATTTCACCAGGGAAGGCCCACATTTTGGACAAAGAGCCTGAGGAACCTGCCCCCTCCCCCAAGTGCTCACACTCTGTCCCTCCAGAGGATGGGAACCTCTTTTTGGCAAGGTCTGCAGGGGACCAGCCCACGGGCCCTGGGGTGGGGCAGCCTGACTGCAGCTCTTCCCTCACTGTGGCCTATGGGTCTCCTTCCTTTAAGAAGGCCAGGTGAGGCTCATGTCTGGAATCCCAGCACTTTGGGAGGCTGAGGTGGGTGGATCATGAGGTCAGGAGTTAAAGACCAGCCTGGCCGACATGGTGAAACTCTGTCTCTACTAAAAATACAAAAATTAGCAGGGCATAGTGGTGCCCGCCTGTCATCCCAGCTACCCCAGAGGTTGAGGCATGAGAATAGCTGGAACCCAGGAGGCAGAGGTTGCAGTGAGCCGAGATCATACCATTGCACTCCAGCTGGGACAGAGCAAGACTCCATCTTAAAAAAAAAAAAAAAAAAAGGCCAGGCAAGAGTCACAGGGAAGAGTGAATTTACCTTGATTAAAAATAACATTTCTTAAAGGGGCATCTATTTTCCCTTTGCAAAGTCCAATCCCTCATGCCTATCTGGGGCAACAGGGCCTGGGGCCGGGGCTCAGGCCTCCCATGCTGGCTGTGGGCTCAGGCCTCCCATGCCCCTTTCCACTCAGCACAGCCAGCATGGGAGGCCTGAGCCCTGGGGACAAGAGGGGACACTACTAGCGGGGCCATGGTGCAGGGTCCCCACGATCAGCCCAGTCTCTCTAACCCTGCAGGTGGCACCAAGAGGCAGGCACGCTCCCAGCACAAGGGACAGTGGCGCAGAAGAATACAGAGAGAGACAGCTCACAAAACACGCCTGCACCAGCTCACAAGAGCTACTGGAGCAGTGGGGGTACTGCTCTCCACTGCAGGGAAGCGTCTGTGTCTCCCCCTGCCTCCCTCCCACCTGAGGGCCCTGCTCACCTGGCCCCAGCTTGGAGATGGCGTATAAGAGATCATAGTTTATGACTGGGGTGGCATCTTCCACTTGTTTCCACCCCACTGGCGGAGAGGCGGGAGGGGAGATCAGAAACTGCTTGTCGGGGTTTGGCGGAGCCAGGTGTGAGCTTCCTATGTGTAAGGTCTGGAGAGAGACAAGAAGCACAGGTCAGCTGTAGCCCGGGAAGACCTGCAGTGAGGTAGCAGCACCGATGACAGCTCCCGGGAGATGGGCAGGTCAATGTCCGGGCGTCAGGACAGCTGTGATTCCAGGACCTATTGTAATACAGTCTGTAAGGGGGAGGGTAGAAGGACGCCTGAACTCTGGTTATGGTGCAGGTAGGATAACAGCCCCTCCCAGGGGTGTGGGACTCACTGGCACAGGGACTGCAAGTAATTATGCCCTAGACGGATAGAAAATCAGCAGAGGTGACTTTAGTATATGTGGAAAGTTAAATCGCTGTCGTTGAGGTCAGGAGGGCTCTTGGAATCAATTTCTCCCTGCTCCTCAAACCACCGGGGCACACTCTGAAAGTCTGAAGACTCAGCAGCAGCTCCGAGAGGACACAGCTTTTCAGGGACAGGGAGCCAGGGCTCCCACCACCTCAGGCTTCCCTGCCAAGCAGCAGCCCTGAGCCTCTGTCCCTGGACTGCTGTTCAGAGTCCCTTCTCAAAAAAAAGCCACCTCTCAGGAGACTGTAAAAATTAACAATAAGGGGCCAGGCACGGTGGCTCAAGCCTGTAATCCCAGCACTTTGGGAGGCCGAGGCGGGTGGATCACGAGGTCAAGAGATCGAGACCATCCTGGTCAACATGGTGAAACCCCGTCTCTACTAAAAATACAAAAAATTAGCTGGGCATGGTGGCACCTGCCTGTAATCCCAGCTACTCAGGAGGCTGAGGCAGGAGAATTGCCTGAACCCAAGAGGCGGAGGTTGCGGTGAGCCGAGATCGCGCCATTGCACTCCAGCCTGGGTAACAAGAGCGAAACTCCATCTCAAAAAAAAAAAAACCAAAAAAAAAACCAATAAGGAACAATAACCCATGCTCCTACTTTGGTTTTAAAAAGGCTGACGGCGATGAGAGGGCCGTCCAGAGATCTCACCTCACAGCTGTGAGGTATAGGTTTTCTCTGCACTTTGCTATTGGCTTCCCCAAATTTTCACAACAAATGTGCATTATTTCACAACCAGAAAAGGTCAGAGGAGTAATGAGTAATTCTTTGCATAAAATCTCATCCAGGGCAGAAAAGAGTGTACTCATAAGGGCAGCCCTAGGCAGCCAAGGTCACAACTCAGCCTGTGCCTCCCCGGGCAGAAAGCCTGGGGGTGGGGCGGGGTCCCAAATGCTTTACTTTGTACCTGAGGGGCCCAGCAAGTTCACTGTCCTCACTCTGGGGAAGAAAAGGCACTTGGGCTCTCTGGCGTGGAGCCAGATGAGACTCCTTTCACTGTTGGGAAGCCGTTTGACAGGGTCCTTCCCCATCCCAGCAAGGCGTGTGTGTGTGTGTGTGTGTGTGTGTGTGTGTGTGTGTGTGTGTTTTGTGTCTGTGTGTGGTGTGTGTGTGTTTTGTGTCTGTGTGTGGTGTGTGTGTGTGTTTTGTGTATGTGGTGTGTGTTTTGTGTGTGTGTGTGTGTGTGTGTGTGTGTGTGTGTGAAGCAGGGGGTGCTCAGAGCCTGAGGGAGGCTCATTTCACCGGGCAGCCGCATTCTAGAAACTCCTTTCCTCTTCTCTGACAATCTGTCAGCCCCCAAGGACATCAAACGGAACTTTGGGAGCTTCCCTGAAGGTGGGTCACCTGTCCTAAGTTTCCCAGAGGAGGGTCAAAATGATAACAGGCAGGAGAAAAAGCAAACCCACCCCCAGCTAACCCTCTCCCTGCCGTGGGTACCCTGGGGCGGGGACCCCTGCCAGCCAGAGGGTTTCTTAGCATCTGTGCCCAGTCTGGTTACTCCATATTTTCCTTTCAAGCCAGGCTTAGCAGCCCTGGGTGGATTTGCAGGCATCTTCTGCAGATTCCTCTTTCTTTGCTGAGTGCCCCCAGCACCACATGAGCTGGGAACCACTCTGGTCTGCACAGTCTAGAGTGGGTTGTTAGCTCCAATCCTCGAGCAAATTCATGGAAACCTGCTGTGCAAATCTTAGGGAGTTTGTGTAGCCATGTCCATCTGCTGCACCCTGCAAGCTCCCTGATGAACAGGGAAGGCTTTTTCTTTCCCCCATCGTTATCAACCTAGGAAGGTCAGGGGCGATTTCTGAGGTTGCTTTCAAATGCCCCTTGATATCTGCTTAAAACAGGTGAGACGCTGAACATTCAGAGTAGGAATTTTGCCTTTCTCAAGATGAAGTCCTAGAGTTTCTAATCAGCATACAACATAAGCTACATAGAAGCTACTTTACAAAAGGGAGGGAAGGTAGAGGGAGAAGCTTGCGTAGCAATGAACCCAACTCACCTGAGCAAAATATAACTTCATTTCCTTTCCCAGAAACTCAGTCTTATGCAGCTGGAGCCTGGCATCTGCTGCGGAGAAGGGGTTGCTGAAGTTTATTCTGACTCGTTTGAAGCTCTTAAAATACTGAAAGGTGATGTCCTTGTCATATGTCCTAAAGAGAGACTCAAATTTGGCCTGTAAAATGACAATAAAAATAAAAGGAGTTGAAATTTACCTGCAAATGACCTTTGACTAGATGATGTCTTTTTTTTTCTTTCTGAGACAGTCTCACTCTGTCAGCTAGGCTGGATTGCAGTGGCATGGTCTTGGCTCACTGCAACCTCCGCTTCCCGCAGTTTTCATGCCTCAGCCTCCAGAGTGGCTGGGACTACAGGTGCCTGCCACCACACCCAGCTAACTTTTGTATTTTTAGCAGAGACGGGGTTTTGCCACGTTGGCCAGGCTGGTCAATTCCTGACCTCAGGTGATCCGCTCGCCTCAGCCTCTTAAGGTGCTGGGATTACAGACATGAGCCACAGTGCCCAGGGCTTCCTCAATACATTTCTTAAATGAGGAAGTGGATCATCAACCCTTTCAAGAACTCCTAACTTCTTTCTTAGAGAAAAGCCTTTCCCATTTTAGGGGACCGTGGCCTTTTAGTCCTAATGCAGGTAATTTTACAAGAAGGTAAGAAGGTGTGATTTACTCCATTCATCTAATCAGCAGAACAGTTGCCAATACATAGATACTTCTTATGGTAACAAACTTTTTATAAAAGTAGGATGAGCATTTTCCAGGGTGGTACAGTTTGGTAATTTGTGCCCCATCCCCCCCCAGGTTTCTCTGCCCTATGACCTCCCCCTGCGCCCCTGCCCATGTTTCTCTGTCTTATAGCCTTCCCTGGCCCACCAACTCCAATACTGCTGTTCAGCTCCGAGCAATGTGTACATCAAATGTTTCTTTAAGGCTTAAAAGCACCACAGGTAACTTGAAAAACAATACTGACTTGTAAAATAACCAAGTTGATAGAAAGTTTTTTGCACTTCTTAAAATACGTAGTTTTTAAAATTTTCTATGATTGTTTTTATCTCAGTCTGTTACTTTTTAACTCTCTAAAATGATACTGGTTTAAAAATTAATGTTCTGCAAATGGACCATTTCCTGCATCCTGGCTTTCATGTCTGTGCACATGTCGCTCCGGTGCCACAGGGCTGGTGAGAATTAGATGTCATGAGCTCTTAGAATGCAAAGCCTGAGGTGGGGGATTACAAGCTTAGGTTGCTCAGGGGAGAGCCCCCTGGGCTGGATCCTGGAGTGTGGATGTTGGTGTGGGGAGCAGGGGGCCACTGCAACTCCTCGGAGAGGGAGTGTAACTGGTGGACAGTCAGAGCTCCAAGGAAGACCGCATGGGCATCTAGTCGCCGGGTTTTGTGAATCTTTTCACCAGGCAAAAACACTTAGGAGAGTTTGTGGGAGCCTATGTGAAAGGCAGAAGAGGCTGGCCAGGAAGAAGGGGATGGCGCAGGGCATGGATGGTAGGCAGCGTGGGCAGTGCTCACTGAGGACCTTGGAAAAGCTATGGAAGGCGCAGTGTAGCTGCAATGGGAGCGAGGATTTGGGATAAGAGAAGAGAATGTCTTCAGGAATGTTACTGCTAGGAAGCGTGCGGGGACGGGTGGGGAGTGGGTGCATGGGCGGATGGTTCCTGCTCCACATGAGGTTTAGGATAGGAACGGGTAGTAGCCGGTAGCCGGTCTCTGCCAGGCAGTTCCTTAAGGGGGAGTGAGAAGAACCCATGACCTTGCTCTCCTTGCATTCCCCAGCTTTTCTTCAGTTTATGAACACTTCTGAGACTTTCCCACGAGGGGTCCTGCAGAGGCACGTGCGAAACAGTGCAGAGCTGGCGGATAGTGGAGTTCAGCTGGCGCCTCTCACTTTTCCCCCCACCTCTCTTGAGCATGGGCAAGTTTCTGGCAAAAGTGTGTCTTTGTACATCTAGAATTTTGCATGACCTCATCAATCGGCACTGTGACCCACTGTGTAGTTTTGAAGTTATGACTCAGAATTTGGGACAGATGACTTTGAAGAATATTTTTAGAATACAGGTTCAGGGCTTAGTACCAGAACAAAAGAGAACGCACAGTATCTTTACAATCCAGATTACTATGATGCCATTCTCTTACAAAATCTTATTTGTTCTAATAACTGATGTATAGTTATTATACTTGTTGGATGGCATCTCTATTTCATTAAAAAAATGATTTTACTCACATAATGCTAATGTGAGTAACATACACTAACTTTAAAAACACAGAATGTGCTCTGTGATCTAGTCCAAACACTATGTTCCAGCTCATAAGCATCATATACAATTATGGAGTTACATTCGATTTTTGTTCTTTTTTTTTAGGGGAAAGCGCAAATGCAGTTCCCGCACTACCACAAATTATGCAGTCAAGCTCCCCACATTTTGGGAAATCTCAGGGATCCACATATCCAGAGTTCAACGGATAAGCCTCGTCCTGGGAAAAGCACCCTCGTGATCATGGTATCTTCCCTTCTAGGTAAGTATTAAATTTGATTTTTTTAAAAAAGAAACCTTTGCATGTCCCAATATGGCTTTGGGTACAAAGCATGTAACATCACCAAGCACAAACACCACCCCTCAAATAGAACATACAAGACTCATTCCTGTACAATATTACCGAAGCTCAGTTAGATAGCTGGGTAGCTACTGATGAAAAACTTACATTTTAATCCAATGAAGAAGAAAAGTATAGTGATTAAAATGACCCTGTTAATCACCATCAAAGAGAGCTGCTGCCCAGGAGGCACACTGATCTCAGCTTAATTTCTCCAGTTTCATTATTTGCTCTAGCTGCATTTTCTCTGTTAGAGAAATCTGGGAGCTTGAGGCCAGGCCCTTGTAATTACTACAAACATACAAATATCTTTATAACATTTATTTCCTAAGATGAAGTGGCTCCCAGATTCACCACTCTGGCTGTAAAAGTACAACACTATTCATGTCAGAAGAGGCCTCCTTCTGAAAAGTTTACTTACAACATACACAGAATGAAAAAAACTCAGTTCCCCGACTCTTGCCTTCCTAGTTAGCTGGTTCAGGAACCTGGAGGTTGTCAAATACTGAAATCTTCACAAATTCCTCCCTCAGTTAATTCCTCAGGCAACAGCTTTTGATTTTCAAGGCTCAAAAGACTTTGGATTTCTTTCAAAACCCCCAAACCCACAAGAGAGCCACCTTCCCCCCCGTATTTCAGTTAATAGTCCCACTTAGCAGAATACTTTGAAAACTAAAGAAAATCACGTTATATTAGAAGCCTTACCCTGGTTTCACTTTCGCTGAAGATATCACTGTTTGCCACACAGGCTATCAGGGAGCTAAAACTGTAGTTAAAGTTTCTAAAATGCATCTTGCTTTCTTACAGTGAAAGCGCTAGAGACCCACGCAGTCAAGCCCTTAGTGAGATTCCTTTCCAAGAGGCTGTAGGTTTCTTCTAGAGCCGGTGCTTATAAAGCAGTGAGGGCCAGCCCCCACTCCCTGGGAAAAAAAAGGGCAGCTTCCACAGCATCCTGTTTGGACAGCAAATTCCTGAGTCAAGTCCTGCATGCTTGCAGGCAGACAGGGACAAAGTGTAAGTTTCTACTGGAAAGAGATGACGTCAACACTTTAGTCATTTTCCCTATGCTAATTAACTTTGCTTGGGGAGAATGGAAAAAACAGCTGAGGTTTGCTTCGCAGCTGCTTTATCAACCCCTCTTGCAGCATACTTTCCACTGGTAGTAATTCCATTCAACTACTCAGACAACACGCTCCTCGGCCGAATGGGACGACCCTTCTTAAGATGGAAAATGTTACAGAAGAAAAAGGATGAAGGTTTGTGACAGTAAACAGCAATTAGACTCTAGGGAAATTTCAAGGCTTTGGGAAACCTGGAAACCAAAGTCTGGGTGACATGCTGGATCCCTGGAATTTCCTGAAAACCTCAATCAAAGTTTCACTTTGGGATATTAGAGAAAACATTTTGAAATCTGTCTTGGTCAATAAAAATTTTAAAGGAAAAAGAGAGGAATCGTTTTGAAATGTAGTTAAATTTTTTTTTTTCCAATAACATTTTATTGGATGAATGTCCCAATTTCCACTTGTATCCCACAGTGGAATGGAGCAAAGAGAACCTCAAACAATCCTAGGATTTTCATTTGAAAACTTTATTATTATAATTTGAGAACTGGGAATATGCAACACTTTGTTCATTTTCAAACCTCTATTGAATTCAGGCAAAGGACACAAAAACACTTGAGAGAATCTAGCCTTTGAAACTGAGCAAAGAAGCATTAACCCATTTAGGCCAGACCTTGCAATTTTTTGAATATTTGCAATCAGACCTTGGCAATGACCTTGAGCAGCAGGATATAAATAATGCCCACATGCTTAGCATCCCAATAATGGAACACTAGGCATAAATGGGTTAAGAGGTCCTGCTTAAAGGAAGGGAAGAATAAATGGAAAGAATGTACGCTATAACTGAAAGGGAAGATGCAAGGAAGATTCCTGGTTTGGAGAAGTACACTGGGATGCAAGACTGGCTCCAGTTCTTTCAAAAGGTTGTAACTCTTGAACCTTCTAAGCATTTTACCAATTTAGATCTTTATGGCAGCCTGGGTCCTATGTTCTTCTCATCCTCTCCAATTTTATTATCACCTAAAAGTACTCAAGTTATTTAAGCATTCTCTAATTTAGGGGCACACAGGGACAGCTCTCAAGCTTCCAGAAGTTAAATGGAATCCTGCCATTCACATTTAAAAATTAACTTCAAAGAATCATTAAAGTCAGCCAATAATTTAAAATACATGTAACAGAAAAAAAAAAAAAAGGGCATTTAGCCTTCCAAAAAAGGAAAAGCAAAGTCCTCTTGGATGAGTGAGTGTTGCTTAATTTCAACACACTGTGCCTTGCTGCCAACTGTAGAGTTATGTAAGAAACCAGTTACGGTGTTTGCTTTGCCAAATTACCCATAACTCCCAACCCGAAAAGACATACAGGCGTGTATTCCCAAAAAGTATAGAACACTGAACAGTGCAACATCCATCAAACACCACAGGGAAGTGGCCATGATGCTTCGAGAGGGCACATGTGTGCTTGCCGAGCTGCATTTCATTTTCAGTACAGGGAGCCTTTGTCTGTCTGGTGGGCACCTGAAGATTGTGGTGGTGGGCAGGAGAGGCGATGGGGCAACAGAGGTGGGAACAGCAGACATAGTTCAATACTCCACTCCTCCAGAGGGGCTGGAAGTTCTCTGATGTTCCCTCCCCCATTCCAACTCTTTGTCTCCCCCTTTTCTCTTCTCCTGGTGCACACCTGGGCAAATTCCATTCAAAGGCGATCAAAGAGACAGAAGAGACAGAAGAGGCTAATTTAGACAAAAGAGGCTAATTTCACTGTCTTCTTTTTTCTTTTAAAATCATGACACAAAGTTCCAGCTCAATTTTGTAAGCAAATCTCAAGCAACCCTATTTATCTGAGACAACAGTATGGGCTCATCCAAATTTACAATTTTGATTTTGTAATATGGATGGAAAAAAAAAAACAGAACAGTGTGGTGCTTGAAGATTGTCCAAGTGCCTTTGCTCATAGAAATGATAAATCTTTCACTAGCTTGCCCCAAACCAGTAATTCTGTATCTGCCTTTGAATTGATTGGTTCCATTTTTCTGAATTGAATCTAATGAACTTGAACACTTCCATTTTTAGATCAAAAGTAAGAGCTGGTCAAAATGATGGTGGCCACTTTGCAAGGAGGTTGGAATGCATGTTCTCTGGCAAAACGTCACTGGTTCACAAATTCTGGGCCAGGGAGAAGGCACTTAGGATCTGCTACCTTGGTTTTCCTTGGCTAAAATATGAGAGGTATGGAGCAGATTTGAGTTTTCAAAGTGTGCCTTGCTGAGTAGCAGAAATCCTTAGTGGCACTTGGACACTCTGGTTGGCCAACAGGGCAAAGCATAGGGTTTCCTGGGACGTCTGTCCCTGTACCCACAGGTAAAACTGCCTTAGGCTCATGTCAATGCCCCCTCATCTGCTCATCTGACAACACTTGCTAAGAATGTCTGTCTTTGACTGCTTGTCTATTATACATGAACTTGAATTTCTAAAGGTCCCATGCAAATGAATTTACGTTATAAATAGTGATTCTCCCCACTGAGAATAAAAAGGGATCCAAAGCAAGTATTTAAAAAGTTGACTTTCCTACTGGTATATTCCTTGTGGTTTTGGAGACAAGTATGTTCCTGATTGTTGCTTGCTGGTTGCATGCGAGTGACCTGAAGAAAGCCCACAGCAAGACCTCTGATTGGGTTTGGCTGTGTCCCCACCCAAATCTCAACTTGAATTGTATCTCCCAGAATTCCCACATGTTGAGGGAGGGACCCAGGGGGAGGTAACTGAATCATGGGGGCTGGTCTTTCCCATGCTATTCTTGTGATAGTGAGTCTTGCGAGATCTGATAGGTTTATAAGGGGTTTCTACTTTTGCCTTCTCCTCCTTTTCTCTTGCTGCTGCCATGTAAAAAGCGCCTTTTGCCTCCTGCCATGATTCTGAGGCCTCCCCAGCCACGTGGAACTGTAAGTCCAATTAAACCTCTTTTTCTTCCCAGTCTTTGGTATGTCTTTCTCAGCAGTGTGAAAATGGACTAATACAGTCTCATTAGTGCTCTTGGTAAGCATTCTAAAAACTGCAGTAAACATGGTAAAACTGAACGCAGCAGTTAAAATAGATGAATGTATTAGCCAACTCAAAGCTTTAGATGTTTTGCATTTCTTCCATTCACACCATAAAAATCATAAATGAGTCTCTTTAACCTGCATTTGCCTCCTCTGGCTCCAAACAGTTAGAGCATGTTTCCATTAGGAAGTTTCTATTTTCAGTGAGGAAAAAAAACGAAGCTTTATGGTGAATTCCATCATTCCCATTACAGCATTCTGAAAGCACAGTTCGGATGACTGCAGCACATCCATTATTAACTCTAAGGAGTTGACAACTGCACCAAGAATGTGCCTGCTGTGAGACTGTCTACAACATAAACTGATCAAAGACAGAAACTGAGTTTTGACTTAGAAGTGCAAATGAACACTGAGCAACAAGTGAGGCAATCTGCAAAGGCTCTTGTGAACAAAAATGAAGAGAGTTACATTTTGTTTCCGTTTTTTTGCTTCTAAGATAGTGAAATAATTTTACTGTTACCATATGTGTAGCTGTTCCCTATAGAATGTGAAGCATTGTTCCCCAGCCTAAGTAACTATTTAAAATCTCCAAAAAACAAAAACAGAAGGGTTTGCTCTCTTCCTCATTCATCTTTACCACTTTGCAGTCTACAAGGTGTTATGAACTACGGAGAGGGTTCTTATCCTTGACTTGTAAGAGGGATTAATATAAAATTCAGAGTTATGGTGAGGATTGATCTAGTGATGGAGGCAGACTGCCTAGCACAATGCCTGAAGCACAGGTGAGTTGGCTTTCGAGTTCCCATTTCATTGAGACAGATATTGAGGTTCGGAGTGGCACACTATGTTTGGGAGAGCCAGCACTCACTCTGGACCTTTGATTGCAGATTCCTCACTTGTTCCAAGGAACTGGGCCTCCTAGTGCCAATGCCCTGTGGTACTGTAGCTCATTTCCCCATCTCTCTGGGTGGTCCAGGGCATCTTGGATGTCCTCCTGTGTGCCTTGCAGGTCCACAGAAAGCCCTGTAGGTTCTCTATCTCATCCTCCACCTTGCACAGTGCTGCAGGCAGCCCTTGGCAACTCGCTGAGGCCAGTGTCTTACCACTGCAATATAGTGTGCAAATCTCACACACAAAAATCCCTGATGCTGACCAAGCTCAGTCACATTTCTCTCCTGCTATACAAACTTCGGTGATAAGCATCATTCCTGCTATAGGCCAGGCAGACTGTTCACGGTCGTCTTGTGTCTTTCTTGTCACATACGCTGCCAGTGTTGCTCTCACCTTTATGCTCCTCCAAGACAAATGGCTTATGTGCCTCACAACACACTCCCCTCTTCTCTTCCTTGAGTCTCTGCTCCTGCGCTCCCTCTCCCTGGATTATTTCTCCTTTCTCCCCTTTCCTTTCTTCCCTTATTTTAAGATTGAGCTCAGGCATGGCTTTCTCCAGGAAGCCAACCATGACCACTGTGTTAAAAAATATATTATTCAATGGTGCTTGCTAAAGGATGGTGAGGCAGACTTTATTCAGGACCGCCACGATAGGGACAGGGACCACCACGATGGGGACAGGGACCACCACAACCAGGTCTTGCAGTGGGGGCTGGGGGTGGGGGTAGATGGAGCTCAACTCTGAATACAGTGTGGCAAGTGGCAATTCATGGCCAAGGAGCACTGTCAGCATCAGTGGTGGGAAATTACTAAGAGGAAGCTTCAAGGTAAAGGGGACTCTGGCTAAACTGACCTAATAGGATTCTTGCTGAAGACAGGCCTGGGTGATTGGACATCACCTGGGGATGGTAGATGATTAAGAACCCAATCAGATATTGAGGGTGAGGGTTCCTGTTAAACTCTTTACGGGGTTCTTTGCTAAAACTGGATTTTTTGTTTTTTTTTTTGTTTTTTTTTTTGAGATGGAGTTTTGCTCCTGTTACCCAGGCTGGAGTGCAATGCCATGATCTCGGCTCACCGCAACCTCCGCCTCCTGGGTTCAGGCAACTCTCCTGCCTCAGTCTCCTGAGTAGCTGGGATTACAGGCACGCGCCACCATGCCTGGCCAATTTTTTGTATTTTTAGTAGAGACGGGGTTTCACCCTGTTGACCAGGTTGGTCTCGATCTCTTGACCTTGTGATCCACCTGCCTCGGCCTCCCAAAGTGCTGGGATTACAGGCTTGAGCCACCACACCCGGCCTAAAACTGGATTTTATAAGGAAGTGCACAGGCGAGCCTAGGAAAAGGTTCAGAAGCCTGACCCAAGTTTGGCCAAGCAAAACATTTTTGTCACCCAAACCCACTCACGTACCCTTGTCCAAGGTCCGTTCAGCGCTCTCCAAACTTCCGATGTCTGTCCCTAGCACTGTGCTCACTTCAGTAGGTGACCACCTATGTGAAGATACCCTGGTTCTAAACCAGGGACCTCCTAACGGCTTGAGCCACATCTTATTCCATTGATAATCCCGGTGCTGGTACAAAATAGTCTCTCAGAAATGCCAGCTAAACGAACAAGCTGATTTGTTTCT